CCAGAATGGAACTCAGTAACTTTATACAACTTTCATAAGTCCATTCTGAGGCTTTTCTAGAAAAGGAAGTAGATGTATAATATTCGGTAATTGTCAGAATTAGTCTAATGCCGATTATCTGACAGGCTACCAGCTGAAAGTGAAAGAAAGCAACAGAAAAATATACCTTACCCGTGAATTGAAGGTTATTTATGGTTGAGATATATAATTATAGGTTCTTGTCAAACGTTCAGCAAGCAATTGTCAAAATTTAAACATAGTTTTTTTTTTTTTTTTTTTTTTTACATCTTCAAGTTTCAGGGCACCAAACTCGACCTTTATTTCAATCTGTCCCGTTGTTGTTTCAGAAGAAAATCTAATTATTAACATATCATAGATATAATCTCGAAAATCTCTGTCATACACACACACACACACACACATATATATATATATATATATATATATAAATTATATATATATATATATACACACACACACATTTTGCGATATATGTAAGGGAAGAATGCTCAATATCGTAGAAAGAGCTTTTATAGATAGTACGGGCATATGAATTAAGAGGACTCAATGGATTCAACCCTAACCTTGCGTGCTAGTAGCACTCCTGCCTTGCCTAGGGTGGTATGTTTAAAAAAACTTTGTATGAAGATTACATTGAGGTGAAAAATTAATAGTCACTCGGTAATGTTAACTTTTATGCCCTAATCATATATGAAAGAGTATGTTAACAAAAATGATTAGAAATGAATTTTCAGCAAATTTTCTAAAATTTTATATATATATATATATATATATATATATATATGTGTGTGTGTGTGTGTTTTCGCCATTTACAAAAGATTAAATTTATTTATTTCCTTTCAATATTTACTCGAACTTTAGATAATAGTTCAAGTCATATCTTTAAAAATGCAGCCATTGTTGAAGATCCAACCTTGAAGATACTGAATAATTGAAATTCTTAAAACAAACAATGTTTTTTTAATCTTCCGCAAAGCAAAATAATCCTAGTATCAATACGCCACATTGTTTTTTTTTCTTTACTTAGAATTGTGTATATATAAAAGAAATGGACCAATAAATAACTGATTGAATCATAGATAGATTTTGTGTGTTTCTATGTCTGGGAAAGAGAAGTTAGAATGGAAATAATGGGAAATGATTTAAATACATCTTTCTTACAGTGTGAGTGTAAGATAATTCTTCCCCGAGTTGTTTTGTCTTAAGAAGATCAACCATTTAATATATAACAAGATATGATAATACAGGAATCACTCGATTTGTACGGCTAATGTGTACATCGGTAACTATAAAAAAAATAAATTTTTAGTCACTATGATTCAGCTGGAGAATGTTCTATCGCACTAATCGAGAATTATGTATGCACTAATCGAATTTTGGTATATAAATATAAAACATTTAGTTCACTAATCGAAAACGCATTAACCCTTTGATCCTTGCGTTCCTGAACAATATTAACCTTTCTGCCTGAGCTCCTGAGTCAAAATTCGCAAATAATTGGTGTGTAATGTTTCACGGTAGATATAAAAATAGTTACGTGTGTTTACCCACCGTTTTACAATGTTTTTTAATCTTCCGCAAAGCAAAATATTCCTAGTATCAATACGCCACTTTGTTTGTGTTTTTTTTTTTTTTTTTTTTTTTTTAACTTAGAATTTTGTATATATAAAAGAAATGGACCCATAAATAACGGTGGCTGGGCATTAAATCATTTTTCTCTACCACAGTTCAACCAGTGGCTGAACATTACGTCATTTTTCTCTACCACCGGTAAAGCGGTGGTCAGGGTTCAAACGGTTAATCGAGAAATGCCTGTACTGCGAAAACTCGACAACACCGTACCGTCTTTTTCACGCTTTGAGCATCTCAGCTTAACATTTACCATTGAGATGAAGTGGAATGATTATATTACACCAATTACTAAGTTTGCTGCTAGGAGAGTTGTGGTGTGATGGCTAACTGCTTGTAACTGGAAATGCTGAGTTCCAATTCCAGTTGCGTTCTTTATATTCACTTAAGCACAAGTATTCTTGGGAAATGTATGATTCAATCTCTCTCCCTCCCCAGCTATAGGTTAATTAGTAAGCTTGTATCAGTAAATCATTATTATCTTTGAAAGATTCTCAGAATTTAAAAATATTTCGAGCTTTGAATGACCTGTAAAAGGTTGTAAAAATACAGAAAACCAGTGTTTGAAAATTACCCGAATAAAAACCTGAAAAATGACCGATTGCACAACGTAACATTAGCTTTCAAAGCAAATACGTGGAAACACTCTCTCCCGAAATATTTAACATGTTATTGGGTAATAAAGACGAATGTTGATTTTTAATCTGTTTAAAAAGTTTTGTAAAATGGAAAACCGTATTTATAGAATATTTTGCTTATTTTTTTTATTTGTTTTTAATGAAATCAAAATCACTTTTTGTAATGCAATACTTTCTTTTGCTTTAACACTTGATGAAATATGTGTTTGTTAATTTCTGAAATAATATCATTATCACATGATCCATTCTAATCAATACCTACATCTTTGTTTTTCATCTCTGTTCTTCAGATATTTTTCGATCACCTTCCAAAAAGTTTTATCTAAAGTATTTTCATTAATTGTATATATTATTGTAACGATACACCAATTTATGTTATGATTACAGTGATTTAGTCGGTATACTCTACAGCCACCCTAATGTAAAAGATGTAGCCTATTCGGCACAACAGGCAATGTTGTTTTTCAGAATCTGTCTGTATTTCTGAGATGAGGTATTATGTACATTATTTACATTATTCAGACTATTGTCCTCATCTTTGTCGCCATATTTATTACAACGTTTCGGTCGTTGTACGCTCTGGCCTTCTTCAGGTGTTTGGAATGTCGATCTGAACCCATTATTTCGCTCACTGGAGTAGACTGTTCTAGTTCCACGTGTCATATTTAATGGGTGTCAGTTATGCTAGGCCACAAAAATCCCTGAGCCGACCAAGCATAGAAATGAATACAATATGGGAACCAGTAATAAGGAGTGCCATAGAAAAGCGATAACAACAACAAAATTGCAATATGAACACTGGTAAAAAAATGATTGCTGAAGACATTAGGTATATAATACCCAGAAATTCATACACAAATGTCCTCAAGGACACATGGCACAATAGATAAAGGCGTTTGTTAGATTCAGTGACAAGACCCAAGAGTGTGAGTTCAATACTAATACGGCTAAGGCTGTGGAGGATTATTAACAGATAACTGATAACTGACATCCATTAAACATGGCACATGGAACTAGAAAAGTCTATCCCAGTGAGCGAAATAAAGGGTTCAGTTCGACATTCCAACCACCTGAAGAAGGCCAGAGCGTACAACGGCCGAAACGTTGTAATAAATATGGCGACAAAGATGAGAATAGTCCGAATAATGTGAAAATAATGTATATTGTTTTTCTTTTTTCGTGAAAACAAGCGAAATCGTTGTAGCTTGAATCTGCGAAATGTTCTTATTGAATTGGTAACAAAAGTTCACTGAAACTGAATTCATAATTACCGGATGTGACATACAATGAAGAAAGTCTGGAGAGATAATGGAATCGACAAAGATGAAAACATGAATCGAAATAATTCACAAGGTGGTTGAAAAAAAAAAGTGCATTCATTTAAAGTACAGATGTGCTGGTGTTGTTATAGTTATTAGTTCGGAACGATAAATAGGCGACCCGAGTTCGAATTGCAATCGAGTTCGTTACATTCCCTTTCGCGTAGATATACTTGGGGAAATGTATGAATATATATATATATATATATATATATATATATATATATATATATATATATATATATACCCCAGCTATGGGTTAAATAGTTAATAATATTCATCCGTGTTTGGCAAGCAGTCTAGGAGAAGGAAAACCTAAAATCGATTGTAACTCTTTCCCGTTATAGACGTACTTGCTATGAAATTTGCTACCGCAATTTTTTTCTAAATATTTGCGATAAGGTCTTACATGATTAATAGAAGTTTGTCTCGAGTTGTGATGCAAGGGAAAATCCAGAATGCCAAATGCTAGTTTAGGGCAGGCGGAAGTGAACAATATGAAATCAAAAGAGCAAATGATAAAATTAAACACACCGCGCAGCCTTCCGGGTTTCAAACATAATTCAAATTCTCAATATAATAAAAATAAACAAGGCAGTATAATCAGCTCCTGCCAGTAAATAAACGCAGGAGCGTACAGAAGACCATAAAAACCAAACATTCATTTAACTTGGCAGAAGGACTAACAACAGTCAAGAGACACGAGTCAATATCGGCGTCTTGTTTTTCTAACCAAAGCAACAGCCGACTCTCTTTGATCTTGTCTCCCAACTCCACTTTCTCTCTTCCTTACCGAAAGACTATTTATGTTTATTCCCTTACAGTCAAAAAGAAAACTTTCTTTCATTTCATAAGTAATTACAGTTAAATTTTATGTATCCTACGTTTAAATAAATATTATTTTATTTGAACACGCTACAATCTTTTCTCGCACTTTTTTTCAAACTGTGACCCAAGGAATCTTTTTTCCCCCAACAACAGTGTTGCGGCAGGGTTGACCAGACAGATATTCGCCCTTAGCAATTTTTTTTTCATTTCAAGATGTGTGGTATGTACTACTCGGACGGATACCCACCTAACGAGGGCCGGAGAGCATGACGTCTGAAACAATGTGATAATAAAAACCAAAGGTGCATATATTAGTCAGCCTGAAATTCTGTAAAGAAAGAAAAGGACAAGCGAGTTTAATGATTTCAGTCATATTCTATCAGAATGAACATTTCTTTTTTACACCTATAGAATTTGAATCGAGGTTATTGAATGAATATAAAACCTTTGATATCTGAAAGCCAACAAGCACACGTACACACACACTAATTGATTCCAATCTTTTGTCGGATTTATATACTTTATGGCATGCTTAACGACTCACTTAATGACTAATGAACCGGTGTACGGCCACATCACGTTAAAACACCAGTTTCCGTACGATCACCGAAGTTAAGCAACGTCAAACCTGGTCAGTACTTAGATGGATGAACACTTGGAAATATGTGTTTTAAGCTTGGATGTGCAAATTTTGTAATGGATAATGGCCCAGGATTGTTAATCAGAGCGGAGTTCCAATTCCAGTTGGGTTCGTTATATTCACTGAGGTGCAAATACTATTGGGAAAGTTATGAATTCACCTTTTCTCCCTTCTGTTAGGGTTTAATTAGTAAGACGTCTATCCTTAAAAACTATTATTATTATCGACCCACTAAAAAAGAATTCTCTCTTATATCCGGGTTACACTGTATATTTACTGAATTCATTTTGTATTCGTATGCTGACGTTTTCCTCCCAGTATAAAATTGTGGGTTATATTAATGTACAGTATAACCCGGATATAAGAGAGCTGTCGGGACCGGAGAAGTCTCTTATATCCGGGTTTCTCTTATATCCGGGTTTGGTCTATTTTGTTTAGGTAAGTATGGGAACACTTTGGGACCAGAGAAAATCTCTCTTATATCCGGGTTACAACTGTATTTCCCAAATGTGTCAAGGTTACATAGCAGTTCCAACAGTTTTTTGTGACGTAATTCATCAATATTTTGAATGAAAACCTTATTAAATCAATATAAAAAAAATTCATTTTTATCATTTTTTTTCAATTATGAAAATAGTATTTATATCTTTTTTTAGAAATTCAAAATATATGCTGAGTTGATGTTTTATAATTGTTGGTCTCCCCATATTATTACTTTTAATTCGTGTTATTAAAGTTTGTTTACATTAATCGGTTACGCTTATAGAAGGAACAAATAAAGAATTAAAAAAGAACAATCGATTTAATTAAAAAGTTCAAATGAATCTTCACCTTAGGAAGAACAAATAACTAAATAAATATCAAATGAAAAAAAATCTAAGGCACATGTTGAAATATGCGTTAAATCTTTTTATTTAAATCGACACAGTGTGAAATAATCTAATTAATCCTTATTAAATAATCTTATTAATTTCCAGCTTTGGCTTTATAATTCCAAATCTTGAAATTCCTTTAAAAAAATCTAAATTTCGATTTTCTTTTAACGTTTTTCTTCGTTTGCAACGAATGATTGAAAAAACAAAAACTGATTTATATTTCTTTAAATTTTTATAAACATTGAAAAAAAAAGGACATCTTCCCAGGGATAAAACAGATCGATACATCCATTTTTTTTTTTTTTTTTAGTATTATTTTTTAACTGGTCATTTTTGTAAGCAGTATGCATGATCATTACTACAGCTTACATTTCTCAGACTTTGAAGAAAATAATCGATTTTTTATTTATTTGAATCCAACCAATTCTTCCTTTGATATCAACATTATCCTTTTAAAAGCCTACATTAAGCGTTCGCTTCGCTGATTCTCTCATTTTAATTTCAGTCAAAATGACGACCAAACTCTCGTCATTTCCATTATTCGAGTAAATAATCGAACTATTAACCCCAGAAAGTAAGAAGGATTTTCAGTCAGCTTTTGATAATCTACTGTAACGATATATATATATATATATATATGTAACCCAGATATATATGACCCGGATATAAGAGAAATTTTCTCTGGTCCCAAATTAGAGCCTGTGTTAATGTATATAAAATAGACCAAACCCGGATATAAGCGACTTCTTCTCCGGTCTCGACAACTCTCTTATATCCGGGTTACACTGTATATTGACGACTTCATAAAAAAATACCCTTTATAAAGTCGTCAAAAAATAAAATGTTAGCGAATTATGACAGTTTTTTTTTTATATACACAAAACCGTTTCAGGTAAAAAAAAAAATAATAAATAAATAAATCTCCATAGACACTTAACTAGACTAGACGATGTCATCTTCCGCTTTAAATTTAGACACCCCAACCTTACCCTGACTTGACCTCTTTAAATGTAACTGAGATATGGATACAAATTATTAACCCTTACGCCCCTTTTTTTTAAATAATTGCTCTAGCCGTTACCATAGTAATTTTAATTTTAATAATAAATATGCTTACAAAACGCGTAAATTTCAAGAATTAGTTATTCCCCAAAAAAATTCGATTGAAGATGGAACAGAGCTTGGTACTTTAATTCAATTTAATTCAAATAATTATATTGAAGTTTTCGGCTCTTGTTTTGAAACATGAGAACTCTTATGTAGCGATGGAATCATATCTTTAAATAAATAATTATATTTAGGCTCTACTTTTGTATCGAGAACTGTTTTTTAAAAATAACAAAAATACGAAAGAACTTTGAATTATTTACCTAACGAGTTCTTCCCTATTTTCTATATATTTTCAGAGACACACACACACACACACATATATATATATATATACCCGGGGTTTAGACAAAATAATGTAAAAACTGGCATAAACATTTATTTATTGACTAATAAGGTGTTGGGTCGCCATTAGTTTCTGAAACTGATTATACATGGAATGAAATCAAGTTTTGAAGTGTTTCCAGAGGAATTTTATCCCATTCTTCAATCAAAATCTCGGTAAGTCTTTTACTCACTCTCTGCTCTAGAACTCTCCATAATGGTTCAATTATGTTGAGATCAGGTGATTGTGCTAGCCATTTAATTATACTAGACATTTCATTCTGCTCTGATGTTTATGAAATCATGACCTCACTTTTGCAGAGTGTATGGGTGTATTATCAATAGTATGGTAGCCATTGTAGGGACATTGTCATTGAGAATGTGGAGATATTTATTTGCAGTAATTCTACCATTAACAGTGATGATAGGAGCAGAAGGGTACTAGGAAATTGCCGCCCGAATCGTTACTGAGCCACCTCCATGTTTGTCGGGACTATGCCATCCGGATCATAGGCTTCACGCAGTGTTCTCCAGACAGAAACACGCTCGTTTGTAGGAAATAACATGGAAGGAGACTCATCGGACGGAATAAAGTTTTTCCAATCCTCGAGTGTCCAAATTTTGTGATGATCACAGGATGTTTTTCATAACTTGGCGTTCGACTTTGTGATCAGAGGTTTAGGAATGGCAGCACTTCAGTGGATACAAGCTTCGTGGAGCTCTCGACGTACTGTGCGTGTCGAAACTGTATTGGTTAGGTGAGTAATGAGTTCTGATATCACTTTTGATGCAGTAGTTTTGTTTTTTTTTTTTTGTTTTTTTGCCACAATCCATTTTAAAGCTGGTCGCTCAATTTCGTTCAACTTCGGTTTCCGTCCATTATTAGTCTTTGCTGATGATGTTTTGTCTTGTTTTGTGTAAGCTGTCAATAATTCAGACGTTTTGGTCACGGATTCTCCTTCGAAAAGAGCAACTAATTGTCCTCTTTGAAAATCCGACAGGTCGCGCATTTTAGTATGTAACTCTTTTACCTGAAGATAAATAATGACTTAATTAAGTGGGAAAACAAGGTAGAGGATTAAAGTGTTGTGTTCTGAGCAGTTAGCTTTTATGCCGGTTTGATGTTTAGAAATACCCGGAAATGCCGGAATTAAAAACGTTTTGCAAGCCGTTCACATTATTTTGTCAAACCTGTATACATATATATATATATATATATATAGAAATAATCACGCATAGAATCAATCAGCAATATTAATGCTATTATTGGCGACATCCATCGCTAGTAGTGTATAATGTATGCATTAAAATACTGTTAATCCATAGAATGATGTGATCCTCATTTATAAAACCTGTTGTTTGTTGTTTCAAGTTTATATTTTTTTTAAAATGCAAGTACTTTCGAATAATCATTTATTCATCGTCAGGCATATGTTATTCCTTATAAAATCAAAACATCTCATCTTTGTCGCCATATTTATGACAACGTTTCGGCCGTTGTACGCTCCGGTCTTCTTCAGGTGGTTGGTATGTCGAATTGAACCCTTTATTTCGCTTACTAGGGTAGACTTTTCTAGTTCCACGTGCCATCTCTAATGGATGTCAGTTATCAGTTATTTCCTGTTAATTCCCATCTCCAAGTTCTTCACCACCTTAACTAAGTATTGAACTCACAACACTTTGGATCCTGTCACTGGTTATGGTTGGACTTTCAGATTTCAAAACTTGAGCGGCGTCATCTTCCACACATTTAACCAACTTAGAATATGTAGACTAAAGGATTTTATCCCATACATCTCTGTCCCATGTACTCAAGAGTGGAATATTGGTTGTTGTCAGCATAACACATCTCTTGTCTTTATTTATTCAAAAATGTATATACAAAGCAACAACCACATCAAATACAAAGAAATATCTGAGTTCCTTAACCGTTTTCATTGTACGTAGAATAGCAAATCTTATTTTACTGATCATCGTTTTTATTTCCTCATTATTGTTAGTTCTGGGACCTAGCCATCTTCTTGAATCTTTATAACTTGTGTAGAGTCAAAATTTCCTTAGCAATAACTCTACAATGTAGCCCACAAGGAGTAAAGTCACCACGCACTAAAATTCCACCTACAAGACACACACAGACATATTATCATCTGAATGCCGTACGGACAAACTAGAATTAGGATACACACAAAATATCCACTCGAATGTTGTTCGAAAAGTCAAATGCACTGTAAACTTAATTAACTATTGAAAATCAAGCATCACAAAAATGAAAATAGCAAATGTTTTTCATTAAAAATTCTCTGATTCAAATTTAACAAAACGAAGCATGTTAGACTGATAAACGTTTCCTGTTTTCTCTTTATCTTATCATTCCTCGGATCCATATTTGATCACAAATCTATCTCTAGCTAGCTATGTCAGTCTATGTATCTCTCTCTATCTTTATGTCAGTATATGTCTCTCTCTCTCTCTCTCTCTATATATATATATATATATATATATATATATATATATATAACAGTCTATGTATCTCTCACTCTATCCCTTTCCGTCTATGTATCTCTCACTCTATCCCTTTCCGTCTATGTATCTCTCACTCTATCCCTTTCCGTCTATGTATCTCTCATTCTATCCCTTTACGTCTATTTATCTCTCACTCTATCCCTTTCCGTCTATGTATCTCTCACTCTATCTCTATCAGTCTATGTATCTCTCTC